CTTCAAGTTTTTTGTACCTTTTTATTAGTCCTCCTCCTCCTCATGTTCCACTGGTTCTTTTCCCCTTGTAGGCCTCTCTTCTCTCCTGTCAGCCTCTAAACGGTTCACGTGAATGAAGTATAAAATGCAGACGATCATCTCAATCATCTCGTGTATTCCTTCTACTAAATCCATGATGTATGGAAAATGAACTGATCTTGACACAAAGTTTAGAAACAAGGTATATATACCCCCACGCTTCTCGACCAATGACTGATCTTCCTACCACCTACCTCACATAACGCAGTTTGGACTAAGAAATACTTTCAGCACTTAACTTAAACTCTAGTTATTTTGCTTTAAAATGACATAAACAGGATGTAATATTATTCAACGTGACGCTCTAATGTCTTTTTATTGTATAATTTAATGATTTTATTCCGTAAAAATTAACATGCGAGTTTGGAGTTGTGTGACAATATTCTAATGTCGTAAAGAGAGTATATGGAGGATACATTTTTTTTCTACCAAGGGGGCCCCGCGAACCTCAACTGTAACTAGTTACAGCGCTTCTCAATCACACGCGTGAAAATTTGCCTTCGTGACGAAGTAGGTTTTGGTTCGTTTCACAGGCACGTGCCCTTAAAAGGCTTGTGTTTTGCAACAATGTTAAGGAAACACTTTGATTGGTGTCCAAGAAAACTTTATTTTGTCTCGACAATATACGATTTCGCGCGTGTGAGTGAGAAGCGCTGTAAAATGCTATTCTCAAAATCTTATTCGATTATATTAGGCTGCAGTTATTGAGAGAACCGCTTTTCTGTTGTCCTGGGATGGGCAACCCAGTGCTCGCTCCAAGAACGTCTTGCTTAATAATCTAAAACGAGTGTCTTTTCATTTTATCAGGATTGCAAACATTAACAAGTTGTTCGATTAATCGATGAACTTGTTAATGTGTGCAGCCCTGATAAAACTAAAATTATTTTCTTTACTTCTCGTTTCGTCAGAAATCCCATATTGCAATCTTTTTCAATCTCCAAATCTACTATTCAACTTTCTGATTGTGTTTGTAATCTTGGTGTTATATTGGATAAGTATTTTGTCTTTTTCTCAGCACACTAGTAATATCTGTAGAAGGCTACCTCACATTTGCTAATATCTTTCTTCAGATAACCTCATTCAAACGTCTTGTGAATGCTTTGGTTATATCTGATCTGGATAATAGTAATATACTTGTCTATATGGCTTAATTCTTCACATTTTAGACCTGACGCCTTAACGTTGCTTGAAGCCATCATAAAATTCACTTCCTAACGTTAGTATGTTCAGGGTCTCTTGCTTGCTCTATTGATGATTGAATGACGTTATAAGGTGGTGAATGCGTTGCTTGGGTTTTTGATAGAATGACTTCGTGCTATTAAAAGTGTCTAGGGGAATCCCCTAATGAGAACGTTCCGATTGGTTATAATATTCTGTCACGCCATCCAACCAGTTGTCAAGTATGCTAATCTGATCGACGTTTACTCAAGTTTTGGTCAGTGAAGGCTATTAAATACCTCAAGATAATAGATTTTGGGTTACGTTTTCCAACTGAACACCATAGAATCAAGCGAGGTGATCTACACGGTTAACTTGATGGACTTACAGACTAACCACTTCTGCAACGGTACTCCTTTTACTCCTCGCTTTCCATCTTGTATGTATTGAATTGAGAAGAAGAAAACTAATGCGAGCACGTTTTGGAGGCAACTGAGTCATCTCAACTCCTATTCTAAAGAAAACCGTCTGAAGGTAATATAATTGTCGGTTAAATCATTCCTTGGCTTCACTCGATTTATGGATCCTATCTTGTATCTCGTGCAGAATCGAGATGAAAGTGAGAATTGTGTACCGAAATCGAGACGGATCAGAATTGCTCGCTTCTTGCACAAAACTTTGTTGACTTATCTACTGTTCGTTATTGTGCTGAGGGTTTTCTTTTTTCCCTTCCGCTCAACCCAACTTCTAAACTCCAATTTGATGGTGAAATGAGGGCGACAGATTTTTTAGACACTGGAAAAGCAAGGATGATTTTTTAAACTTTTAGACGCTCAATAAGGAAGTGATTGAGATCCATATTGTATTTCAGTCGAAAGTGTCATCCAATATTTTGAATCTCTCTCTGAGTGTCATTACATTTTCATCCTCCTGCATTTTTTTTTTACAAAATTAGCGAAAATGAAAAAAGAAATATTTTCATTGGTATATTATTATTTATTACTTATAGCATGGATCATGTTTTCTTCTGATTTGACTTCAACTTTATAAACTACAATGTAAGTTTTAGTGATTCAGTTTATTTTCAAAAATACGCTGTGTCCTTGCGTGACATAAAGAAATATATATTCATATGCAATTGTTTTGAGCATCCTTAAATTACAACTTCAATTAACGAGCATCTTCAAGATCTGGATTACATTCTACGATAGTAGAACGTTTTATAGCGCTTTTCATAATTCTGCGACCACGTTGCTCTGAGGCCCCGTCCACACTATGCCRGATAAATTTGAATCCGAATTTTTATTTATTCGGTTAGGCCTACCGTCCACACTAGTCCGGGAGAATCCGGAACAATTCTTCACCGAAAACGAATTTTCGAAATGGAACCCAATAAATAAAAATTCGGATTCAAATTTATCCGGCATAATGTGGACGGGGACTGAGTTGCACGCTGAAATTCGATGACTTCAATCAAACCTAATCAGTCGGTAACTTTCATATTTTTGATTGGCGGCAGCCAAAATCCAAATTTTAGCGTGCAACTCAGAGCACCGAGGTCGCAGAATTATGAAAATAGCTGTAAAGCTATTAAAATATCAAAAGCTATTAAAATATCAAAAGCTATTAAAATATCAAAAGCTATTAAAATATCAAAAGCTATTAAAATATCAAAAGC